CTTCTACAGATGAAAAGATAAACGGCAGACCTGAGAAACTCCACTGACTGTTCATTACAAAAGACTAGTAGGAACTTCTAGAATCCCCTCAGTAACTGATGGTGACTGACACTGAAGAAACCCAAGAGACTGAAATCCTGCACATACAAAAATCATTTTTCTGCAGCATCAGTAACGTTTAACTGCTAGTTACAAATATTTCCACCATCATCATGTTAGTCCAGTTGTCTGAGAAGACAAAGAACCTTTTGGTTTCCCACTCCATACAATTTACACTATGACAAAATTACTCCTACCCTGAATCACTAAGATAAACATCAGGTATTTTCCAGATAATCAAAGTATAGTATCACAACAGGGATGCTAACAACTTACATGGCACTGTAGTTCCAAACCTCGTAGGATTCAGTACTATAAACCTGTTCTTCAAACTTCTTCGCCCCACTCCTTGGGCCCCAATTAAGACCAGTGTTTTCCTCTGAAAAGGAGGCATTTTGGCTACTTCCTCATAGATCTGGATTTCGTGACGATCGAATTCTACATTGAGAAGTGCACAAAAAATAGTTAATACAGTCAGTACTGTAAGAAAAAAAAATTAAGAAGTCCTGTTATATATCAACAGACTGCATGTGAATATAAATAGTACTCAAAGGGTATGAAGTCAGACACAAGCTTTCTTGCTTTAAATTGGTATGGGAATAAAACAGTGTCCTGGTTTTTGCTAGGACAGGGTTAATTTTCTTCTTGGTAAGTCTCCTTACCTTACCCCTCCAATTCTCTCCCAGATTCCCTGGGTGAAGGGGAAGGAGGGCTGGGGGTGGGCTGCAAGTGGCTGTGTCTTGTTTGCCTGCCAGCTAAGTTAAACTATCACAAGTCACTACCCCTTCATGGACAGCAGAAGGTCAGATTATTACCTTTACTTCCAAGGAGAAAATTCAAGATTGATTAGAATGGGAAAACTGTGATTAACAATCAGTGAGTTTTCACAGAACCATAGCATGATTGAGGTTGGAAGGGACCTCTGGAGGTCATGTGGTCCATCCCCACTGCTCATCTAGGGCCACCTGGAGATGGTTGCTCAGGACCATGTCCAGATAGCTGTTGAATATGTCCAACGAAGGAGACTCCGCAACCTCTGTGGGCAACCTGCACCAGTAGTCAAGTCACCCTCACAGTGATAAAAGTGTTTCCTGATGTTCAGAGGGAACCTCCTGTGTTGTTGCTTGTTGTCTCTGATCCCGTCACTGGGCTCCTCCGAAAAGAGCCTGGCTCCGTCCTCTTTGCACCATTCCTCTGGGTATATATACACATTGATGAGATCCCCCCCTGAGCCTTCTCTTCTCAAGGCTGAACAGTCCCAGCTCTTCTCCTCATAGAAGAGATGCTCCAGTCCCTTCATCATCTTCTTATGTCTATGTTTCCTGCACTGGGGAGGAGCCCAGTACACTTCAGGTGTGGCCCCACCAGTGCTGAGTAGAGGGAAAGGATCACAAAAAACCTTTCACTTCTTTTCTCTTTGAACACAAAGTTTTCTGGTTTCCACCTACCAAAAGATGTACTCAGCATCACCATATCTTCACTGGTCACTACTGCTTTTAAACCACAAAATCTATCTGATCTATTAAATTCATAATCAAATATTTCACTGCAAATCTTTCAGCTTTGGATACACTAGACTCTGCAAGTTTAGAAGCCTAGAGAACTTTGAATCAAGAGAACTTTGAATCATTCGTAATATTAAGAGATACCTACCTGCATTTCTTGTAGTGAGATACATCATCTTTTTCTTTTTTTTGCTGCTTATTGTTCCGCAGAATGGCCCTAGAAATAAAAATTAAGACAAAGTCATCATTTTTGTTAAATGTTTTTCCAAAGCTTATTTAAATGAACATATACAAGTCAAGATTAATTAAATTTGCAAGGACTATTTTAGAATTTTATGTATTCATCACACATCATTCAGGACATCACATCTATTTTCATACATATAAAATGTATGAAACAAATATAAGAGAAAAAATAATTTTCCTAGAAAGCTTTGAATAAAGTAGCAGAAAAATCCATCAAACATGTTTAATTAATTAACTTCCAGTGCATACTGTAAAAACATAATTAAAAAAAAAACCTTATGCCTTTCCCACTTCATTTAGCTTTTGCTCAGCCAGTGGAAAAACTGATTCATGTACCTATGAAGACTAAAGATAGACTTTAGTCTTTGTCCTTCCATCAAAGCCAAAATATATTAATTAGCATTTCACAATATTCTGTGTATTCTCACACAGCAGTTTTCCAGTACCTATGAAGGCAAGAAAAGCACCACAAATTGAGTCAGAGCAAAATCTATTCCTGAAATTCAGTAAATCTCACCTGAGTTGTCCCAGTCCCTCCTAACAAAGGCCTTTCTCTTCTCTTCCAAGAACTGGCTAGGAATAAGCCCTGCACTTCCTCCTTCTTTGACATGACTAGCCTGGAAAAATAAAAGATAATAATCATAGGTAACTTGTGAGAAGCATTTCTGTCATCGACATAGTGTTGACTTACTTTCTCAATGGTGAGTATTGGTACATTTACTACTAAGACTTGGAAATTCAAACTCAGATGTGGATATTAAAATTCTGTCTTACAGTAACAGTGTCTTGCCATTGAGTATCAAAATTCAGAAAACTTAAATAAAATAGAAATTTCATTACTGGTTCCCATTAAGTTTAGTAAGCTCCTATAGCCATAAACTTTAGCATCAAAATCCTAAATGGAATTCTATAGTTCCAGACATCAAACTCTCAAGTGACAGAACTCCAGACTTTCTAGCACGCTGTATTGGGTTTCCATGGACAGGTTTTGGTAGCGGAGGGGGGGGAC